AAAAAAAAAAAAAAAAAAAAAAAAAAAAAAAAAAAAAAAAAAAAAAAAAAATCAAAGGTTCATATTTTATTTTCATACTTTTATATATATATATATATATATATATATATAATTTAATAATATATATTTATTTTATATTATTTTTTTTTTTCATTATAAATTTTTAATTTGCTGTTCCTTTATACGAAAGTTAATGTCAATTTTTTTTTTTCCTTTTTTTCTTTTCCTTTTTTTTCCTTTTTTTTTTTTCATTTTTAAATAAAATTAATAAACTTTTTTTTATATAATTGTATATTTTATATGTAACATATTTCACATATATATATATATATATATTTTCAATAATATATATTCTGTAATGATAAAATTTTGTAGCAATACATATTTATCCATATATATTAATTTATCAAAAAAAATCAATTCATCCAGAAATATAAGTAATATTTGTGATATGGTTTTAAGAAGAATTTCGAAGTTTTCATTTTCACACCGATATATGTACATTTTTTCATTTATTAATGTTTTGAACTCTACACTCTTAATTAAACCAAAGTATACATACTTAAACAATACTGCTTTTATTTCTTATATAAAAAATTCAAATAATTTCGTTTTGAGAAGTTATTCAATTAAAAAAAATTATAATGCTCTTATATGCAAATCATTTAAAAAATATAGAATGAATAATAAGCTTTCGAATTCCTTGAATATGGATACAAATAATGAAAATGAAAATATTTTAAATGATCATATTACATCATTCAATAAAAATAATGATGTAAATAAAAATTTCAGAAATTTTAACCAAAATGGAAATCCTGCATTTAGTAGACAGTATAATAAAAACAGAGCAAATAATTTTATTAGTAATAATAATTATGTAAACAATAACAAAAATAATAAATATTCAAATAATAATTATTCAAATAATTATTCTAGTTATTTAAATAGAGATAGTAATAAAAATAACGAGGCTAACTTTACTTTGAATGAGACAAAGTTAAACACCAATGTTAATTATATTAATGCAAATAGTAACGAAAATAAAAGTAACTACATAATAAATGACAATTTTTGTCACATAAGTGACAACAATTTAAGTAATAACACGAAGAATAATTTTAATAAAGACCAATTATTGCTAAAAAATGTGAAAGGAAAAAATATATATAACAACAATATAGGTAGCAATAATATTAACACAAATTATTTAGATAATTCATCAAATAATATAAATTATAAAAATTTTACAAACGAAAAAAATTTACCAAGACAAAATTTAGAAGGAAACGTAAATAACAACAATTTAAAAGGCACAGAAAGATTTAGTTATCTAAATGATAACTATCAAAATAACGTTAAATATATTAAAAATAGCTATAGTTCGAATAAGAAAAACATCAACACATATAATTCAAATGTAAATGTTAATAACAACTTTAAAAATAATGAGAATAGTAATTATATGGAAAATAATTTCAAAAGAGAATCATCAGAAAGTATGATAAATAATAATCTCAAAATTAATTCTATTTTAAACTTAAATGATGTAAACACTGATTTAAATAATAATTTAACAATGAAATTAGACACAGATTTGAATGATTTAGATTTAAATGATATGGTAGGTGTAAGTGATGTGTATAGTAGTAATAATAATAATAATAATAATATTGATAACATAAATAATGATATAAATAGAAATAATAATAATAATACGTTAAAATTAAATAATTTAATTAAAAACAGAGACATCAATAGGAATGAAGGTTTTGACAATAATAAGAACATAAATGAGTGCATTAATACAAATTCAAATGGCATGAGAGGTATGTTGGATAATTCATCTAATTATAATAATCGGAATAGAAATAAAATTATTTCACATAATTTTAATACGTTAAATAATACAACTAATTTTAATAATAATGTGAATAATATGAATAACAAATCAAGTGGTACAAGTCGTATGAATAATATGGTGTCTCCAAACAATATGAATAATTTGGATTACAATATGAACATTTTAAGTGAAAATGAAAGGAATTCAAATAATATAATGAATAAGCATACAAGAAATATCTCTTATGATAAAACCAATAATTACAGTAAGGATATTAATAAAATAAATACATATGAGACTAAGAAGAATGATAATTTTTGTCATATTTCATCATCGAACAATTTAAAAAGTATTAATAATTTATCAAATAAATTAGAAGATCAAAATAATGGAAATAATATAAATAAGCAAACATCCATAAGTTCTCCTATTAATTTAGATGCAGATGCTTGCTTATTTTATGATTTTAATGATTTTTTAGATTATATGTATAAAGATGAAAATATATTAACTCTTTTTTATATAAGAAAAAATTATTTAAAAGCAGAATCACGTGAAGAATTTGTAAATGAGAATGATAAAATTAAATATTCAATTGTATGGGCATTTTCTAATGATGAGAAAATATCTGTTGTAGGTTCACATAATACCAAAAAATTAAGTAAAAAAGTATGTGTAAAGAAAATTTTATTAAAATTAAAAAATATTTCTCTATTAGAGCTAGATCAAATGACTAAATGGATGATAAATAGCTTAAATGTTATATTAAAAGTAGAAAATAAAAATATAGATAATAAATTAAATAATAACATGTATTATAGCAATATTGAATGGAAAATTAATAATAAAATATATAAGGCTACAGGAGTAAATCCTCATGAGAAAATTGCTGAGATGATAGCAACTCAAAAATTGTACATGCTTTTATATGATATAAAAGATCAATTGATTAAAGAGTCAGAATATACAAGGATTAATGAAGATAGGAAAATGATAAATATGCATAATAGAAGTTATGAAAATAATATGTATGGTAGAATTACAAATAATAATCATAATTATGATGATACTAATGTAAATAATAAAATGATTAGTAGTAAGTGTGAACCTTCTAAAAATCAAACACTAAGTAAAAATTATAGTGATACACTATTATATAAAAATAATAATAATAATATATCTTATCAAGAAAAAAATGGTGAAATGCCTTCAAATAATGATGTATTAAAAATGAATAATAATATGGAAAGTAATACTCAAACTATAAATAACTATATGTTTTATAACATCAATGAAAATCCATCTTCTGTAAATACGAAATTCTCTTCAGTGGAAAATTCAGGAATGCAATCAGCTGCAGGTGTTATTTTTAATAGGAACATTAATAATATGGAAATGAATAACGTTAATAATAATATAAATAACAGTAACACAAATAGTAATATAAACAATATGAATTATCAAAATAACAATTTAATAAATTCAAATGATAAAAATTCAATTGATAATAACAGTAATGGGATAAATAATAGTGTACCAGATTCCTCGGAATTTGTTACATATAGTTTAACAAAACAGGATGCCAGCAGTATACAGATGTTAAGAAATAATATTGCATCCAGATATAAAATACATCAAACAGAAATATTCGAACAAGTGTATAATTTATATAAATGTACTTTAGAATGGGAATGGAAAAACGGGAAGAATCCATGTAAGGCAAAAAGTGTTGGATATGGGAGTACAAAAAGTTTAGCAAAATGTGAGGCCGCTTATGATATGTTAGTAAAAAATAATTTAATAGAATATGTTTCATCAACAGATAGAAAAAATGCACAATATATAAGAGATTTAATAGCAAAAGATTTAACAAAGGCCTTAAACCTAGCTATTCAATTTATTCTTCAATATAGTAGTAGTGCTTGGTCAATCTTCTTAATATACTTGTTAAGGGAATTATTAATAGATGGTAATTACGATAATATAAACAGATTATTAAATACAGTTGTAGAAGTTAGTAAACAAGGGAGATTAGAAGTTGATGAAATGAATAAATTAAATAATATGAATAACGTTAATAAAATGGGCCGTGTAAATAATTTTAATAATATGAATAATAATAACAATAATGAGGAACAAATCAAAGATATATATAATAATGAAGATGGTAATTATTCTAATAATTGTAGTAATTCATTTTTCTTTAATCCTTATATTCAAAAAAAAAATGTTAATAACAATTATGTTCATAAATTAGTTTCAATAGATTTGTGGGAAAAATTAATAGATGAATGTGTTGTTATTTTAAATGATAAATTATGTTTTCATTGTATCACTTTATTACAAGAAGTAGAGTTAGATTATTCTATTTTTATATCCAAATGTGCACATGATTATTATAAAAAATACAGAATTATGTTAGCTTTGGAGTTACAAGCTAATTTAGCACAAAGCATCCAAGAAAAAAGAGATTTTGAATATTTACATGAAAATAAATCTTTATTATTAAAATTAAAAAGTATTACTATGCCCATATTATCCTTTACGTGTACATTAACAAATGAAGAGAAAGAATGGATGAAATCTACTCAAATGAGAGAAGATGACATTGTTTTATTAAAACCTTATGATATGTTATTAAAAGATGAAGATGCATGGTCCAATAGCTTAATAGGAAGCATAACGAGTACAAAAAACGATAATACCATATATAACATTAATATAAGAATATTTTCTGCAGAAAATACAAAAAAAGGAAATGTTAAATATAATAAATATAAATTATATTTATTATTAAATATAGTAACACATGAAAGAATGTTGCAAGCTTTAAGATCAATTACTTTTATAAGTTCAATTCCTACTCAATATCAATCACCGTATGTTTTTACACCTGAAATTCGCTTTTTGATATTGCACACATATAATAAGCATAGTAAATATATAGCACAAAATGGAAAATTGAGTGATGAAATAGCAGATTATGAAAGAATAAAAATGGATTTTCAAAACAATGAATCTTTAAAAAATTCACAGGAAGATATATTGAGTGATTATAACAAAGAAGCAAAAAATCCATATGAAGATTTGTTGAATGAAGCACTAAATAAGCAAATTGATAATACGCATGTTGAAGATATTGATAAATATCTTATTGAAAGTATTAATTTACCAACAAATTTGCCTTTAAATGATTCCCAAAAATTAGCATGCTTAAGTGCACTAACGAGAAGATTGACACTAGTACAGGGTCCACCTGGTACTGGTAAAACGCATGTAGCTTGTGCTATTATTGACAGTTGGCATAGACAAAATAGCAACAAAAAAATATTAGCTGTTGCTGATTCAAATGTTGCTGCAAATAATTTAGTAGAAGGATTAAAAAAAAGAAATATTCAAGCAGTTCGTGTTGGTGCAGGTAGTGATAGTGATTTTCATGAAGAAGCGATAATGGAATTTCACAGATATAAAGATTTATTGAAACTTAGAAAAAACAATATGCAAAAAGAAGCAAAAGTTATGAAAGCTCTTTTATTTCTTGAAGCTGTTAAGAAATACAATGTTGTTATTGCAACATGTGTTGGTTCTGGACATGAAATTTTTGATAACGAAAAATTTGAAAGAGTTATAATTGATGAATGTGCACAATCTATTGAACCTTCAAATCTTATACCTTTAGGACATTATTGTAATAACTTAGTATTAATAGGAGATCACAAACAATTACCTCCTACTATTATCTCACCAGATGCCATTAAATTAGGTTTAGATAAATCCTTATTAGAAAGATTCGTTATGGCGAAAATTTCACCAGTTCATTTGTTAACTACACAAAGACGTATGCACTTGAGTATATGTGTTTTTCCTAATTTTCATTTTTATGATAATAAATTAAAGACTGCAAATGTTACTGAAGAAAATAGGCCTATTATCAAGGGGTTCTTATGGCCTAACCCTAAATGTAGATTAGCTTTTATAGATGTTTCTATTGGAAAAAGTGGTAGCAAATTTGAAAATGCTTATGGAACTTCTAAATTTAATCTTTACGAAATAGAACCATTAATATCTGTTTTAAAATCTATCATTAATGAAGGATGTGTATCAGTAGACGAGATTGGTATATTGACAGCGTATGATGCTCAGAAAATGAAGTTAAAAAAAGCAGTTCAAGAAGCATTTCCTTATGAGGCTTCTCATAGAATAGAAATTGATTCAATTGATGGATTTCAAGGAAAAGAAAAAGATTTAATTTTATTTTCAGCTGTTAGATCTAATGCAAATAATGAATTAGGTTTTTTAAGAGATGCAAGAAGATTAAATGTAATGTTAACAAGAGCAAAAAGAGGAGTAATAATATTTGGAGATCAATTTACATTAGCTAATGATACTGCTAATTGGCTACCATGGCTAAAATGGATTTCATCTAAAAGAGCCATTGTGCATGTAACAAAATTAAATGACCATTTAGAAAATACAGATTATTCATTACTAGATAAATTAAATAAAATTAATAAAGCTATAAACTTAAAAAATATTACAGTTTCCGATAATTATTATTACTATGGTAATGATATGGGATTCTCAAATGACTATAGTGACCCTAATTATACACAAAATGAAATTAAAATTAATTCAAATTTAAATCTATCTAAGGAAGGGGTGGAACATATAGAAGAAGAAATTGTTGAAAACTGGGAAGATTTATTATAAAATCTTCATATTTGTAGAAAAAAATAAAAAATCTATCTATAAAAATGTATGTATTATAATAAAATTATGTAGTAAGGTAGCAAAAAATTAGATAAAATTTAATGCCTTTTTAAAAAAAAAAAAAAAAATTTCGAGTGTAAAAAATACAGAATATTTTTTTTATATTTTGTTTTTTTTTAAAATAAAAAATTATAAATATATATATTTACATATATATAATATTTAAAACAAGCAAATTTCAACAATCATGCTATTTTTTGTATATAAAATTAAAAGAATTTTGTTGTAATTTTTTATATTTTATATAATTAAATTCGAATGATAAAATAAAAATTTAGTTCATATAAATTTAATTGCTTTACTTTAATTTTTAGAATTTTTCTTTTTTAAAATAATATATCTAGAATAAAATTATATATATATATATGTATGTATAATTCAATATGCTATTTTTTATTATATCAACATTATATTACCTTTTATATTTTATATATACCACAACCATATTTTTTTATAATAATTATTTTTATTAAGTATATATTTTATATTTTTACTAAGTTTTATTATTTTATTTATTTTTCTTTTTTATATTATATATTATCAATAATTAATTTAAATATTTCATTAGGGAATTAAGAATATATTTCTTTATCATTATTTGTTCATAAGAAAAAGCAAAATGAAATATTAGTTAGTATAATAACAATTAATATAATCAAAAATATTACAAAATTAAAATTAAGTAAAATATATTTATATGTATTAATAAATATAATTCATAATTTATTCCCAAAAAAAAAAAAAAAAAAAAATATATATTATTATGCTAAAATTTAATTTTTCCTAACACTTAAAATTTATCTTTTATTTCATTTTTTAAATAACAAGGTATCAATGAAATATAAGAAATTTTAAATGTTTTTCTTTTTCTCTTTTCTTCAATTAAAAAATTTACATTTTATTTTAAATACACCATTAAATTTCTAAAATATATATTTCCATTTTTTTTTTTTTTTTTTTTTTTTTTTTAATAAAGTTTGAGAAAATTTTAATATAACATTTAAAGATTTCCTTATTTTAAAAATAAATATTTTAATTATGTTTATTATTTAGAAACAATTATATATCAATTCATTAAAATATATAATTAAATTTTATTTGAAAGATATATTTTTATTTTTTTTTTTTACTTAAAGAAAAGGCAAATAAAATAATTTGTATTATTTTATTGTATATTTTTTCTTTTCTTTCTTCTTTAAATATTATTTTTTCTCTGTCTAAAAAAAAAAAAAAAAAATAAAACATTGAGTTAAAAGATTATATAATGTAATTTTTCATTTATGAAATATTTTAAAATGGGTATAATACAAAAAAGTTCCAAATACATTTAAATTTTAGGATAATCAATTAAATTTTTCTCTGTTTAATTCTTTCTTTTTTTTTCTTCATAGATTTAAATAAGAGTGGAATACATAGTAAACAATTTTCTTTGAGTCAAAATAAACATAATAATGTAAAAAAGAAATTATATAAAAAAAAAAAAAAAAAAAAAAAATTTAAATAAAAATAAAAATATGTATATATATATACTTTTGTATGATATTTTAATTAAAGGAGAGATTACAGAGATTAGAAAAAAGATTGAGTGGGTTACATTTTGGTATAGAATTGCAAAAAAATGAAAAAATTGAAGTAATTTAATAAAGAAATATAACATTTTGAATATATATATGTTTTAAAAAGAAATATTATAAAATATTTTTATGTTTAATTATTATAATAAAAATTATATTATTTAAAATTATAAAAAGAAACTAAATGAAAAGGTCAACGTATTAGAAGAAAAGTTAATAGAAATGCATGAAAATTCTAATCGAACATTTGAAAAATTAAATGAAAAGGTTAGAAAGACATAAAAATAAATAAAAATTTTATAATTATTAATTTAATATTTTAAAATTATTATAATTTAAATTTTTTTTTTATTCTCATTCATAATTCATATAAATATTAGTTGAATGATATTAGAAACGATGTTAATAATTATAAATCTGAATTAGAGGAATTTAAAAATGAACATAAAAAAAAATTAGAAATTTTAGAGAAGAAGTAAATAAAAAATATTATAAAATCTAAATATCATTATTTTTTTAAAATTTCATAATTTTTTCATTATTATTTTTATTCTACATTTTCTTTTAGAGCTGATGAATTCATAAGCAAAGAAAAGGAAGAATGGAATAAACTCAAAACCAAATTGATAAAGGATTTTCAAAATAAAACTAGCTTATTAAAGTATCACTATTTTTTTTTTTTTTTTTTTTTTCAAAAAATGTTTCTTAATATATATTTATTTATATATATTTATTTATAATTTTAGAGAAGAAATTATTGAAGAATATGGAATTTTTGAAGAAAAAGAAGATTCACTAAGAAAATATTATGATGTATACATTTATTGAGTTTAATTTTAAAATTTCACAAAAAATTTCTTTTATAAGAATATTTTATATTATTTAATTATTTTTATTTTATTTTTATTTTATTTTTTTTTATACTTTTTATTTCCAGTGTGAACTAAATAATTTGAAATCATTAGTTCAAAATGAAATAAACGAAAGGATAAAAACAGAAAGAGTAATTCTAAGAGATGTAGATGAAAAGATAAATGAAATAATGAAAATAATAAAAAATGAAAAAGTGAATAGGTAAATATAATTTTAAAATTTGTATAAAACTCAAGTATATAATAATTTATTATTAAATATCTAACTTGATTTCTCTTTAATTTTCACTTTTTTTTTTTTCAGAGAAAATTATTCGGAAAATTTAGTATCTCTCATTGAACAATATTTTTCAAGAATAAAAAAAGAAATAGATAAAGTAAAAAATATTAATAAAATGAAATAATAATAAATAAAATGAAATAATAATAAATAAAATGTAATTTGTAACATATATATATATATTTTTTTTTTTTTTTTTTTTTTTTTTTTTATTCATTTAGTTAAAATTATTTATATTAANATTTTTTTTTTTTTTTTTTTTTTTTTTTTTTATTTTAAAGGAGAGATTAGAAAGGGAAGATACTGAAGAAACTTTAGTTCATCTAATGGAGGAAGCATTAGATAAAATAGGAATACCATTTGCATAAAATAAAAATCTTTGTTTAATTTTTGTTTAAACAATCTTAACTTATTATTTATGAAAACATTTATATAATATTTATTTGCAAATTATACTAGAAAATACAAGGAAAATTATTTAATTTTTTTTTTTAATTTGTATCTATTTTTACTTTTTTTTTTTTTTTTTTTTTTTTTTTTTTGTTTCTCCTGTTTTGTACAATTTAATAAAATTTTAAAAATCTTTTGTTTTTTCTTTAAAATAAATTTAAATAATTTAAAATTGTTTCTCATAATTATGACAAAATATAATCACTTAAAAAAATGAATTAAATTTAATATAAATAATTTTAACTAAATGAATAAAAAAAAAAAAAAAAAAAAAAAAACATAATCTCTCTTAAAATTTTATTTCAAAGCTAATAAATTAACGGATACTTTATATAAATATATATATATATATATATATTTTACAAGAGTCGTGCTTTTATTTTATTTATTTATTTATTTTTTTTTTTTTTATTACTTTTTTTATATTAAAAACATAAATCTCTTTAAAAAAAAAAAAGCAATCATTTACAAGGGCTTGGTAATTTGTCTAGTTTCGTACAATTTAATAATTTTTTAAAACAATTTTTTTCACTACATGTTTTACATTCAGAATTACATTGATCTACTGAACATTGTTCATTACATGATATAAAACCACACCCAATGAAATTACTAAAACAACTTAAACATGTTGAAGAAAATTCAATATTATATTTTTTAAAATACTTTTTTACACAAATATCTATTAAATAAGGTTTTGCTGATGATGCTTCTGCACATTCAAATAATATTTTATAAAAATCATTTGAAATTGAATTACTTGACTTAAAAAAGTAAATTCTAAATTCTCTATAAATGTGGTTTTTTATACTTAAAAATCTTCTCTCATTAATCTCAGATTTCCTAATTAAATTATTTGTTTTAAAAATTTGTTCACCATTTATCAGTTTTTGTTCTACAGAACCTGTACATCCTTCATTTTTATCTTCATTAGTAAAATTTAAATTAACTTCAATTTTATCATTGGAATTCCAATTAGATTTAAATAAATTATCTAAACAATTTACATAATTTTTATTTCTTATTCTAAATAAAAAGTAAATAAAAAAATATTCTATTTTTAATCTCATTTTTTAATTCTTATAAAATTATACTACAAAGAAATTATAGGAAAAAAAATATAAATTAATTATAAGTAGTTATAATAAAATGCTAATTTTTGCATTATTTCGAATTTTAACTAAAATCAATGTTTTAATTTAAATTAAAATTTACTTCTTAAATGTATAAATATAGGGGATAAAAAAAAAAAAATATATATATATATACATATATATATATATGTGAATAAAAATTAAAAAAGAAGCTTTATTAATTAATAAAAATTTAACTAAATAAAAGAAAAAAAAAATATATTTCATGAAAACATCGAACCTTAAAAATATAATTAAAAGAATTTGAGGAAATGCTCAATGAAAAAAAATAATGCACCCATTCATTAGGCTGAAGTTTTTCTAAAAATTTAAGATGAAAGGAACTTAAAAATTAGAAAAAAAAAAAAAAAAAAAAAAATTTATTTCTCCTTTTAAATTATAATGAAATTACATGAAATCACTAAACTGTGAAAAAAATTATAAGAAAAATTTTCATTCAAAATATTATTACAATTTTAATTGTAAAAATAAAATCTATAATTTGTAGGGAGGTTTAAAAGAAAATTATTTTATATACGAAATAATAATTTTATAAATTAAAAAGTTGTATATTTTAATAAAATTTATTGTAAGTTAATTATTTACTATTATTAATAATGTTATTATTATTTTTTTTTTTATTCTTATTATTTTTAATATTTATTTTTTAAAAGCTTAATATTTTTTTTTTTTTTTTTTTTTTGTCTCAATATTATATCTTCTTTTTAATTTAATTTTCCCTTTCTTTTAATCTAAGAAATGTTTAATAGGATTTTATATATTAATAATAAATTATGCTACTTGGAATTTTTTTATTTTTTTTTTTATTTCTATATAACAAAATTCATGATTAAAAAAAAAAAAAAAAAGAATATAAGTACTTTTATTTGCGTATAGATAAAGAAGAAACACTTTAGTAAATTTTTTTCTATCAAAAAAAAATATGTGGTTTTTATTATTTTTTTTCTAAAAAAATAGAATGAAGGTGTTATTTATTATAAATAGTAAGCATTTTTTAAATATAAAGATTTAAGCAAAAAAAAATAAAGTGAATTATTAACGCTCATTTTTGTATAATATATATAAAACCTATTTAAATTTTATATATATCCTTATATTTTTAATTCATAAAATTCACTTTATATTGTGCATAAAGTTCTTAAAGTAGGGTTTTAACAATTTAAAGAATTAAAACTTAAAAAAAAATTTTATATAATTTTTTTATTTCTACTTAATAAAAAAAGTAAAATTAGGAAATGAACTTTATCAATTTTTATTAATATTGTATCTATATATATAATTGTTGAAACTTTTTATTATACTTCTAGTTAATTAGACAAATATAAAAAAAAAAAAAATTAATTTGTAATAAAAAAAAAAAAAAAAAAGTAAAAAATATTAATATTATTTAATTTTTAAATGGTATTTTTTTTTTTTTTTTAATTTAAAGTGTGCAATAATATAAAACTTGTCTTAATTATTAAGCATATTAAAAATTATATACATATATATATATGCGTTTGTAATGTTTTTTTTTCCTAAATATTTTTAATAAAATAATTTAGAATTGAAAAATATTATGTAGAATACTTTTAAACACAAAAAAAAAAAAAAAGAAACATATATATGTTAAAAATTAATTTTTTAAATAATTTTATTACGTCACTAAATTATTTAATAAATAATTTTAAATAAAAATTAAAAAAAAAAAAAAAAAAATATAGTATATTAAAAAATGAAAGATATTATAATAAATTCAAATCGTTAGATTACCAGAAAAATATTGCATCTATATTATTTTATAAACTTTTCTTATTAACTTTATTGAGAAAAAAAAAAAAAAAAAATGTTAAAAAAAAAAAAAAAAGATACCATTTTAAAAGATAAATTAAAAAATTCAGGAAATAATAAAAATGTCTTAAATGGTATATGTGATAAAAACATAGACAAAGTAAAGAAGATTAATGTTGAAAAAATAGACGGTTATGATATAAAAGATTTAGAAGAAAAGGAAAATGAAATTGATAAAATTTCTAGAAAAATATATGAAGAAAATAGTAAAATAAAAAAAATAAATTTACATCATAGATTAATAAAAGAGGAATTAGAAAAAAAAAAATTAATTGATCAAACTGATAGAAAAAAAAAAAATTCGGTTGATTATTACAAAAAAATTACAATAAAGTTACAAAATAATATTAATAACATTGAAGAATATACAAATAATATCACAAATGATATAAATATACTAAAAATGTCCATAGATGATGAAAGAAATGAAAGGATTATTTACAATAATAACATGAAAATTTTAATTAATGAATATAATAATTTGAAAAAAAGTATTAGTAACCTAATTTTACAAGAAAAAGAATATTCATTACAAAACGAAAAATTAAAAATTGAACTAAATGAATTAAATAAAGAAAAAGATACAATAGAAAAAAAACATAGAGAAGATTTTAAAACACTTCAACAAAAATTAAAAGAACAAAAAATTTTATCATCCGAACAAAAAATTCATGAGTTAGTTAAAATGAAAAATAATTTTAAAGAAAGAATACATAAGACCATAGAAAATACAGAAGAATTTAAAAAGACAGACAAATATAATGAAAATATTATTAATGATTATTTATTAGAAAATTATGAAGATGAAAAAAAAAAAAAATTAAATACAAAAATTACTTTATTAAAAAAATTGTGTTTAAGAATATTGTGTATTAATGAATATCAAAAACAGAATATAAAAAAATTAGAAAAAAATATAGAAAATATGAATAATGCAATTAATTCAATAGAATTATTAACATCAAAAAAATGTGATTTTGACAATATTATAATTAATTTAAATGAATCAAAAGAAAAAAATTATAGTTTAATTTCAAGAATTAATTTATTAAATTATGAAACAAATGTTCTAATCAAATTAAATAAAAAAATGAAAGAAAAATTTAGGGATATAAATTTTGAAAATCATGAAATAATTAATTTAAAAAGAGAAATAACCAATAAAATGAACGATAAAATGAATCATATTAAGACATCTTTAATTAATAATGAAGAAACCTACAAATTAAAAAAAAAGTGTTTTGATGATTGTGTAATGCATTTAAAATCATTGTATGAATTTATAAAACAGTATGAAAATAACAATGATAAATTAAATTTAAGGAGTCAAATTATAAATAAAGAAAAAAATTTTCATTTTAATTATATTCATAAATATAATGAAGAAATATTAGTTGATTCAAACCACTTAAATGATTTTTTAATTTTTATTGAAAAATATATTTATGCTTTGAATTTTTATCTGCCTTCACCCCCTTTTAATTATAAAAAGTTTCTTATTGACAATCCATATTTTCATAACCAGTCATCATATGAACCATTAAATATATGTGATACTACTAATTTAATTTCTAACAAAAATCTTTATTCATCTAATATCTCAAATGAATTGAATAATAAATGTAATGATAATAATTATAAAATTGATAATATTAGTGATAATACTAATTGTTTATCAGTGCAATCACCAAATGAAAATATCAACATAAATGAAGAAGTATATTTAACAAATAATAATCAAAATTTTGGAAGAAATAATATTAATGACAAAAAAAATAATATAGAAAATGATTTATCTAATGAAAATGAATCAGAAATAGAGAAAAAAGGTTTACATGATGATAATACAAGAAATAGTAGTGAAAACTTAAAAAAAGACGATGAAAATTCAAAAAAAGATGATGAAAACCTAGAAAATGAAAATTCAAAAAAAGATGATGAAAAACTAGAAAATGAAAACTTAAAAAAAGACGATGAAAACTCAAAAAAAGATGATGAAAATTTAGAAAATGAAATCTTAAAAAAAGACGATGAAAAACTGGAAAATGAAAACTTAAAAGAAAATGATGAAAACTTAGAAAATGAAAACTTAAAAGAAAATGATATTAAGAAAAGTGAAGAAAATGAAAACTTAAAAAAAGACGATGAAAACATAAAAAAAGACGATGAAAACATAAAAAAAGATGATGAAAACTTAGAAAATGAAAACTCAAAAAAAGATGATGAAAACTCAAAAAAAGATGATGAAAACTCAAAAAAAGACGATGAAAATTCAAAAAAAGATGATGAAAACCTAGAAAATGAAAATTCAAAAAAAGATGATGAAAAACTAGAAAATGAAAACTTAAAAAAAGACGATGAAAACTCAAAAAAAGATGATGAAAATTTAGAAAATGAAAACTTAAAAGGAAATGATGAAAATTTAGAAAATGAAAACTTAAAAGGAAATGATGAAAATTTAGAAAATGAAATCTTAAAAAAAGACGATGAAAACTTAGAAAATTATATTAAGAAAAGTGAAGAAAATGAAAATTATTTATTAAATCATTTTAATTCTCGTAATATTGAATATGATAAATTAAAAGATGAAATACCAAATGAACTTTTAAATAATAAATATAGTTCTAAACAAATATAAGTTTTGCAAATTAAAAAGAAAAATTGAAATAAAAATATATTACATTTACTTCATAAGGAAAATATTTCATATTTTAATAGATAATGTATAATTTTTTAATATAAATAAAAGCTTATAATTTTTATCCTGTCGAGAAATTTTAAAACTCTCACATTATATATGAGTTTCATTAGTAGATTATTCATAGTAACTTTATATTTTTAATGCAACCAAAATGATAAAACATAGTAACTCTTATTAAAAATTTTTAAACTATATAAAGAAAAAATCAATGTTTAATAACATTTTTATCTTTTTATTATTTTTATTTTAAATTCTCCATAATGGAAAATTAAAATCTATATATATATATATATGAAAACATTTAATATTATTGAATATATATGCTCTTTTTAATATAACTCTATGAAAAAATATTTATTTATTCCTAATTTTTTTTATTTATTACTTTCTATAACCATCGAATTTAAGTAGCCATTATTTCTTTTATATATATAATTATATATTTATATATATATATAAAATAATTTAAAGAGATATTTATATTGAAATAATTTTATATTTTTTAATGTTTTATAATATACTTTTATTATTTATTCTTTTTTTTCTTTTTTTTTTTAAAATGTTTTTAAAATTATTAAAATAAAAATAAAAATAACGATGATGAAAAAAAAAAAAAAAAATGCATAAATTTTAAAACATCCAAAATTATGAAGAAAACAAATTATACAAATTATAAAATTAACAAAATATGTCAAAATATATATAAACTTTATACAACAAAATTTTAATTATTTTTTATAATTTTTTTCAGTAAATAAAAAAAAAATTTCTTAAATATTATAAAAAGTTATATATGAAAATATCTTTAAAAATTTGTATTCATAAAGCATCCCCTTTTTATATAACAAAATCTGCAATATATTATAAAATTTGTTTTAACAAAGCTTCAAATTTGTCTTTTTTTATTATGTTAAATGTTTCATATATATATAAATAAACTTTTGTTATATAATTTGGTTTTAAGAAATGATATATTGTTATTAATTTATTTAAAAATATATAATGGAAATATTTGCTATTTTTATAACAGTTTTTATGTATCATACTTAAGGTGAATAATATAATTTTTTTATACAAATAATAATTTGAAAAATTTGGTGATTTATTAAAAGTTTCTTTTAATAAGTTTTTATGATCATCTATATGAAAAGTTTTAATTGATTTTTCCTTTTTCCTTTCTTTTGTATTTTTATTTTTATTTTTATTTTTTTTTTTTTCTTCCTTTTTTAACTTATCAATTTCATATTTAGTATCAACTTTTTTTGAGATTTTTAAGAATCGTAAATTCAAATAATTATAAATTACTACAACATTTTCAAAAAAAACTATAATTTCATTAATAATTAAACTTATATCTTCATTAATAAAAAAATTTTCTACAACTACTTTTGTCGAAATAAAGTTGTTAAATAAATTACTATTTGACTCGTTTTTATCAAATAAATTTGTACATATGTTAAATAAAATATTAAATATTAAATAAATATATTTCAAAAATGTTTTACATATTTTTAAATTATTTACATGGTAATTCTTCATATTACAAATTTTTTTAGAAATTGATTTTTTATTTTTTTTTGAATGAATAAACAGCGTAAAATATTCTTTATGAAATAAATTAAAAAAAATATAATATAAGCTCCTAATTAAATTCCTTATAATTTTAATTAAATGAGGAAATATATTTAAGCTTGTATTTTTCAATTTCCCTTCATTATCAATAAAAAGAAAATTTCTAATTTTAAAAGAAATTGATTTATGAAAAATATTATACCAGTAATTCCATATTTCGAATTTGTTATCTACTTTATGTATTATTTTATATGCATTTTTTAATATAAAATGTTTAATTATTTTTTTTTCTCTACTTAATAACATGTTATTAAAAATATTCGAGTAATCTAAACATGAATAAAACAAATTAGTTACAATGTTATTTATAAATAAAGATAAATAAAAAAATAATTCTGATATCTTCTCATAACTTTCTTTAAAACTGTATCCAATTATATACTTTTTCTTTATTATTTTTTCTAAATATTCACTAGCTGTTATATAGTTACTATTTTTATTAAAAATAGCATCTTCCTCTTTTTTTAATATCTCATTTTTTATGTTATTATTATTTAAAGAAATAATTTTCCATTTATTTTCATTTTTTTTTCCATCATCTTCATTTAAAGTAGAATTTATAAAAGTGTCTTTTACTTTAACTGCCTGTTTGTTTCCCTTAAAATTTTCATAAATTTCTTTATTTGAATAAAAATTTATAATATTTGAATTAGAATTATCCTCATTTTTTAAACAACACAAATACCTTTGTTTATCTTCTAAACATTTTATATTACTACAAATATAATTCATATAATATTTTTCATTTATATTTATTAAATCATAAAAATTTAAAATTGGAAATATAAAAGATGTGGGATATTGGATTGTCATTTCTTCAAGAAACAGTTTTTGATGCATGATAGAATCTAACCACAATAAAATATTATTTTTTGTTATTAATTTAAGAATTAAGTTGTTTTTAAAATAATAGTCTATATAACTATCATCATTATTTATGTTATTATAACTATTGAAATTGCTTACATTTTTGTTATCATAATTAAACATATCATTATTACTAAAATTATTTTCATTCTTTTCATAATAATAATTATCATTCTTTTCATAATAATTATCATTCTTTTCATAATAATTATCATTATTACAATTTGTAAAATCATGATTATTAAAATAATTGTTATCATTATCAAGTATTTTAAAATCATTATTGTTATTATTATTACTTTTGAAATAATTAATTACATTATTATCATCACATTCTATATCTTGTATATTCAGAATATTGCTTGAAGTAATGAGTAATATTAGAAATTTTTTTAATAAATTATGATTTATATAATTATTAAAAAATACAGATAAATAAATTTCAAAAATGCTATTTTTATTTAAAATATTGTAAATCATTTTTATTGCATTTTTATAATTACTATTAATATATAGTAATTTATCTATAATTTCATTATCTTTTTTAATTATCGTATTTTCATCATTTATTTCTTCTAAATTATCATCATTATCAAAATCATGAATCATTCTGTTACTAAAGTGAGAGGTTGCATAAAAACTTTTACTAACAACATTGCTTGTTTGCTTTGAATAATTTATATTACATTCTTCTTTTTTTGAATTATTATTTTTCTCATAATGAAAAGTGTTCTCATCATTTTCAGCATAACTCCTATTGTTTTCTTCATTTTCCTCATCACAATTTTTTAATTTATTACTGGTAGAAAAAAGAGCTTGATTAGAAATAATAAAAAAGTTAATTATATTTAATGAAATATAGTTATTACTATTAAATAAATTATTTAAATATGAATGAAAAAAATGAATTGAAAAAACTTTATTTTTAATCATATTTTTTAAAGTGGTAATAATGCTTGATTTTTTGTATAATTCATTTATAAAAAAAAAAGAATAAGAAGCTACGCATGGGTTAATATAATATGAATTAGGATCTACCGAGTATTTTAGTTTTTTCATAAAAAAATATAAAAAAAATAATTCTTTAAAAGGAATTATTAATTTTTTTTTTTTGTTGTTGTTTTTTTTTAAAAATGTACTTTTTTCTTTGTTTTCATTTTCTGTACTGTTTCTATTAAAGGAACTTAATTTCTTTCTAATTTTATATAGTAAAAAAGAATTTTCTAATAATTGAAAAAAAATAGATAGACCTTTGATACTAATCATTCTTACAATTAAATCATTGCTACTTAAACAAAATATCAATATTTTTAATGCATTCATAGAAAAACATTTTATCCATTTTCCAAAGAAATCAATATCATTTAAAAAATATTTATCTATTATTTTTTTATAATTTTTCATAAAATGATTTTCTTTTGTTTTCTTTCCATATAATAATTCGTTATTACTAACTATGCAATATGAATTTATTTTATTTATTACTTTTTCATTTTTATTTAAATTTTTATAATTATTTTTATTTGAATTATTGGTAAAATCACCATTAACAACACTGTTACTATTATTATTATTATTATTATTAGTAGTAGTAGTAGTAGTATTTAAAACAATATCATTAATATTATTACATTCATTATCTACAAAATTATGTTCCTTATTATTTATATTTTCCTCATCATCAATAAAAGTATTACAGTTTTCATATAAATTATTTTCATATGGGCATAATAAAAATATATTAGTTCTAACTGTTTTTCCATAATATATCATATTTTTAATATTTATTTTTTCTTCCTTTTCAAATAAATTTAAAATTCTTTTTGATTTATTAATGTTATGCACCTGTTTAAATTTTATACAAAATTTACAATTTTCATTATTTTCATTTTTTTTCAAATGATTAAAATGCTCTTTCTCTTCATCGTAATTTATAATTTTTTTATTTTTAATATAACAAGTATTAACATTTAAATTATTACTTGATTCCATAATACTATAGTTTTTATCTAAAATATTTTCGTTATTATAAAAAAATGAATTGTCATTATTAACTCTTTTTTCTTCAATATTATTATCATAATCTATATAAAAATAAATGTCTGGATATTTCTTTATGTAATTTTTTATTTTTCTATTGATTTCTTGCATTCTTAATAAATCAAAATTTAAAAACATTTTTTCATTATTATAAGTATATAAAATTCTAAAATGATAAAAAAATATTCTTAATTTTTCTGCCATTAATATAAAACAAAATATTAATTTACTAACAATTATACAAAGCAAAAACAAATAATCATATACATTTTCTTTAAATTTATTTTTGTATGTTAAAAAATAAGTTTCATTTTTTGTAAATTCATTTTGGCTTAATATACAATAAAAGCTTTTACTACTATTTTTTAAAAATATTTCTTTTTTTTCTAATTCACCATTATTTATGTTATCATTATACTTAAATGATTCTTTTTCATTTTCGCCTAAAAAATTATTATTTGTATAATTCTTATAATAGTAATTATTTTTATTGTTATCTAATTTGTTCATGTTTTCGCTAAATTTATTTTTTATATTTCCATTTTCATTATCATTGTAATTTTCTATATTATTAATTAAATTCTCGTTTTTTCTTGAGTTATTCATATTCATAAAAAATAAAAAATCATTTTCACTATTTTCTATTTTTTTTAGTATATTCTCATTTGTATAAAAATATAAACACGTTTTATTTATCATGTTAGTGTTCATATTTAACCAATTGTAATCATTATCATGATTCAAATTAAACTCTTTAAATTTTAAAATCTCATCAATTAATTTATTATCTAATATACTATTCATAGTAATAGATTTAAGATAATTAAATAAATCTACAAAAAATATATTTCTTATATGAATATTAATAGTTGTTATGGTATAACTATACATTTTTTTTAATTCACTAAATAATTTTTTATTTAACATCTTTAAATATATTACTTGTCTTGTAATTTTATTTTTAGATAAACTATACCATTCCTCATAAAAAATTTTTATTACTTTCAATATAAAAATTAATTTCTTTTCATTTTTTTTTTTTCTTCTTTTATATTCCTCTATTTGTGATATGATAATTTCTTCTATATAAATATCTTTAAAAAAAATTTCAATCATATTTAAAATATTTAAATTTCTTAATTTCATATATTTAAATAATGAAAAATATAAATCAAATAATATATATGTTTTTTTATATTTTTCTAAACTGTTAAAATAAAATTCATTAGTCATATTAATATACTTTTTCATAATATTTCCATAATGGAAATTATATATTTTCTTTCTATTATTTATAAATGATATATGAATTAATAATGAGTAAAAATATTTTTCTATTAATTTTTCTATTTTAAACTTTTTTTTATTTTTGTTTAACAAATTTATTAATAATACTAGTAATATATCATAATCATTTTTTTTTTTTGATATAAAATTTATATAATTTTTATTATATTTTAAATTGTCATTATGTATATTATTATTATCTATATGAAAATTATTATTAACATTGATATTACAATTATTTTTATTGTTAACATTAATGTAACTGTTATTATAATTCGTACCATCGATAGTATTATCATTATTAATACTCTCATGATAATGATTTTTCATAAATTCAGTTTTTTTTTGTTCAGAATTATCAATTTCTTTATTGTTTTTTATTGGACATTCATTTTGTGTTGTTTTTTTTCCTTTTAATTTTTTAAAAATTCGTTTAAAAGTAAAATTAATTATTTTTCCATATGCTTTTACAATAAGCTCATTATGTATATCATTTTTATAAAAATTGTCATAAAAATAAAAAAAAATTATTTTACATATTCTCCTTATAACTGATTTATTATACCTCTTAAAAAGAAATGCTCTTTTTTTTTTATTAAGAATTTTCTCTAAAAAAAATAAAATACATAAAGCTATATATAAACAATTTTTATTATTTAACTGTTTTGTATTTAATAGAAGAAAACTTATTTTATTTTTTTCATGAACGTTTTCATAAGCATAAGTAATTTTTTTTAAATACTTTTTTGCAATAACATTAGAAAAACTTTTTTTACTTAAATTAAATATCTTTTCATATTGTAAATTATCTAAAAAATTTAAAGAATTTTCTTTTAAGAATGATGAATTATTATTTTTTATCAGATAAATAAGATTCATAATAATAACATTTTCTTTGTTCATATTTATATTTTTCCTTTTAAATTCTTCTATATCAAAGAATTTGATATAATTATAAATAATGAATACTTTTAAATTTCTTTCTACTACTTTATCATTTAGTAAATTTATTTGGTTATTTTTAATTTTATTACACATCGAAATATTATTGTTTATATTTAATTCTTGTATCAATATTTTTTTTATTATATCATCATTTATTGAATAGTTATTATAACACTTACTTATGAATAATTTGCATAATTCGTTGCAAATATTAAATGTTTGTATATCTATAAATTTATTTTCCATTATTATTTTAATTAAATGTGGTACACTTTTAAAAATTTTCGAATTAATTTGGGAGTTTTCATTAACTATATAATAAATAAAAAAATAAATGATTTGTTGTAAAAAAAAATTTATATTTTTACTAACGCACATATTATTTCTTTTTGTGTTATCTATAATATTCTTATTATTACAATAATTGTTAACTAACTTATTTATAAAAAAATCCTTCTTTTCTAATTTTTTTAATAAAAACAAAATCATAAAAGATACTTTTTTTTTAAAAAATGTATTATTTTTATCATCATCTTGTCTTAAAATTATTTCTTCCATAAAAATTAAATTTCGAATTATTAATTTTATATGTTTTTTTTTTTTTAAACTTATAATATTTGCATTTGTATTAATAAAACATAAATTTAAATAATAAAAATCTTCATATATATGCTTATTTGTTATATATATTGTCTCTAAATATTGTAACAATTTCTTAAATAATCCCTTTTTTAATATATTGATGAATAATATAAAATTTTTTTTTTTTAAATTGTTAATTTTTAAAAAAAAATTATTTGAATAAAAACCACGTTTTTGTAAATCAATATTGTACAATGTTATATTTTCTATGTCTTCATATCTTCCTGTTCGTTTTAGAAATAAACTAAAATTCTTATTTATATCAGAAGAAATGTACAAATATAATTTTAAAATTTCGTTAATTTTGTTTATTAAAAATAATAAAATATTTATATTAACATTATTATTTTCACTTATATATATGTAAATAAGGAAATAATAATTGTATAAAACACATATAATATTACACATACTGTAATATAATTCCTCTTCATTTCTAATTATAAAGTTATAAGTAATATCATCATTAAAAAAAATACTCAAAATATTTTTGCTTTTATTTAATATATTTTTAAAAAAATTTTCATTCATATTATTTTTTATATGTATATCCTTCTGATATATTAAAAAATCTGTAAAAAAAATTATTTTATTTCTCTTAATAAATGTTTTATCCATATTCAAATGATATTTGGATAGTTTCTTTTTACTTTTAATATTTTTAATCGCCTTTAAAAATAATTTTAAATTTTTTTGAAATTTTAAAAAGGTACTAAATGCTCTATTTTGTTGTTTTATTTCATTATAACATGCTATATGTTTCTCATTTACTAAATTTAATGAATTTTTTTTATTTTCTTTAATATTATTATTATCTAAACTATTACAAATGTTCGTATTATTATCACTTTTATTATCAATGAAATTATATTCTACATTTAGTATCAATTCTTTTTTTTTTGTAAAAGAATAAAATAATTCTTCTATATTCTTCTTTTTTTTTAATTTTTCTTTAAAATTATAATAAATATATGGATTAATTAATAATGTATATTTAATAAAATTTATATAATTTATATATACTTTTACAACATCATCTACAGTATAATTGAATGTATCATCAATAGTATTTTTTACATGTTTTTCTTCTTTGTTATCTTTGATAACTTTTAGCATTGGTACTCCATTTAGTAGACTATTTAAATTATTTGTAAAAAAAAATTCAATTATAAAATTTAAAAACACAGATGACTCACAGTTATACATATTTTTATTTCTTTCTTTTGTATTTAGATTTTCTAAGAATTTTAATTTGTTTTTACATAAATTAAAAATTCTATAAAATAAAGACAAAAAAATAATAAATTCTCTTAAATTATATATCTTCCTTAAATAATTAAAAAATAAATTTAAATCATCAAAATTTTTTGAATCAAAATAGTTTGTTTTTTTTAATAATTTACATAAAAATATTTCTATGTAATAATAATATTTTTCATAACACTTTCTGCTTTTTTCATCTCCTTCAGTAAACTTTTTTCTGTAATAAATAAAAATAAAAAATAAATTATCCAAAAAATTAAAATTTTCAACAGTAAAATAACAATTTTTAACCAATATTTTCATAAATATTTTATATATATTTTCGTTAATATTATAAAATAAAGAAAAATCTTTTATTTCAATAATCTTTTTCCTATTATATAATTCATTCAATAATTTTTTTTTCAATTCACATTCATCGAATAAATTAATATAATTTTTAACAAGAATAAAATAGAATATATGTAAATTATCTTTATCTATGCTAACATTATTTAAAAAATAATGTAAACTTAATATATTATCATCTTCTTTTCTATTATTATCTGTTAATTCCATTACCTTATCATTTATGTTAATATTAAAAATGTAATCATCTGAATCATTATCAGTATATTCATATTCTCCATTTTTTTTATATGAAGATATATTTTTTTTATTATTTTTATCTTTATTCAACACATTCTCTTGAATATTGTTTAATATATTTTTGTTTATATAAGAGATATCGAACATATGGTAAGAAGAAATTAAATTATAAAAATAACCCGATAGATCTAATCTTATACTTTTAAGCAACTTTATTTTATTTATTCCCTTTGGTATGTTTATAAAAGAATCAATAGACAAAATAAATAATGATATACATTTATATATTTCCATACAATAGTACATGTATGATATAATAAAATAACTATAATAATGATTCTTGTCTTTTTTTGTTATTCTTAATAAAAATTTAGTTACATTCATAGGTATAAAAAAATATATTACTTCCTTTAATTTATTATTATAATTTATTTCATTTTCAAAGTGATACTTATAGTCATTAAAATGTTTGATATTTTGAATTAAAATATTCTCATCATCTATTATTTCATTATTGTTTATATATATCATTTTTTTTTTTTTATAAAATTCTAAAAGTATTCTATAGTTTATTAATTCTTTAAATAAATTAAGAAACTCGGTATTTCTTATTGCATCAATATTAATTTTTTTATAAATATATTTATAATTATGTAAATATTTTTCAAAGGCATTTTCTTTTTTAAAATGTATAAAAAAATTATTTTCATTATTAATACTTTTTATTTCTTCTTCTTTTTTTTTATCTAACTTACTTTCGTTTATACTATTTGTTTCTTCCAATATTTTTCTTTTTTTTTCTTTTTTTAATTCTTCTTTTTTTTCTTTAATATTCATCATTTTTCTCTTTTTACTTTGTATAATAAAAGTATTTTTATTTTCATTTTTATTTTCATTTTCATTTTTATTTTCATTTTTATTTTCATTTTTATTTTCATTTTTATTTTCATTTTCATTTTCATTTTCATCGTTTTTGTCTTTATTTATGTATTTTCCTTCAATCATATGTTCTCTATTTAAAATGAAATCACAAAAGTTGTTTATTTTCATTTCTTTCATTAGAGTAGTAAATATGTCATTAAATACTCTATTTTCAACTGTTGTTTTCTTTTTTTCTTTTAATTGAACATTATATGTAAAGAAAATTTTATTTAAATCAATAAATAAGTTAAGAAATAAAAATAAAAATAGAGTATTATCAAAATTTATTATAAAATTTTTATTATTCTTGTAATATAAACTAATAAAATGTTGATATTTTTCTATAGTTTTAATAATCACATAATGATTTATAAAATACTTTATTTTTAATTCAGTTAAAAATGTAAAAAAATTATCATAAACTCTATTATTAATTATTTTCTTCTTATTATTAAGATTATTATTTTCTTTCAAAGGATAATAAATTAAAAATTGTTTTGTTTCAGTAAGGCATGCATCTATATACAATTCTAAAATCTTAAAAATTAAACAAATTCTATGAATTTCCTTTTTTTTTATTTTTAAAAGAAAAATATTATTTATTTCAATAAAATTTTTATTTTTCATCATTTTAATACTTTTTATTAAATCACTATAATCATTCATAACTAACAATTCATTGTTTTTATTATTACTTAATACCAAGTAATATTTTTTCTCTTTTTTTTTTTTTTCTGTTTGCAATTTATAGTCACTTATTTTATTATTAGAATTTTTTAAAAGAAATATGTAATGATAATTAAACTTGTCATTTTTATAAATAATATTAAATTTTTTGTCTTTTAATAGATTATTTATAAAAAAAAGCAACGAAGTATCAATATCATTTTGAGTATCATTTAAAAATAAACCTAATAATTTGATCAAAATATTAAAAATATTCATATATTTATAATTTTCACTTTTTTTTAAAAGTTCATATAAGGATAACAAAATATAGTATCTAATATTCTCATTACATTCAATAAATATTTCGTATAATTCCTCACATATATTATCAAAATATTTATACAAATTATTATTTTTTGAGATAAATAAGTAACGATATAAAGAATAAATTAATATGGACACTCTAACTATTTCAAATTCATTTTTATTTACCTCTAATTTTCTTTCTTTTTCTGAATCTATTACTTTTTCTTTATATATTTTATTTTTCCCATTTTGTTTTTTTATTAGTAACTCACTACAAAAACTACAATTTTTTATAGTATTAATTATATTTTGATTACTTTCATTTCTTATATTTTTAATAACTAAAAATTTATATAAAAAAATTAATTCTTTTTCTAACCAATCCGCTTTGAATATTTTTTTTTGTTTTTCTACATTTTTAATTGAAAGCATTACTCTCTTTTCTTCTTTTTTTTCTTTTAATTCATTTTTATTTTCCAACTCAGTAATATTGTTGATGTTTTTTTTTAACTTAATTAAGTTAAATAATAAGGTGGAATTAAAAAACATGTGATGGAATTTATCATGAAATAATAAAAAATAAAAAATAGTTTTTAAAATAAATATTCTATTATAACTAAATTTATTTAAAATAGTTACTTCAATAAAATCTAAAGTTTCACATAAGAATAATCCAATATTAATAAAATTCAATGATTTTTCAAATTTTTCTTTTATATTTATTCTTCCATTTTCTTCATTTCCGTAATTTTCTTTAAATTTATTACATAAAACCCAATTTAACGTAAAAAATATAATTTCAACATATTCTAAATTAATTTCATGTTGTAATTTTGATAATTTACTTTTCTCAACTTCCCTTGACAAAACAAATATAATTACATCTGAATAATTATTTTCTAGTATTATATCAACAAAATAATCATATTTTTTATCATTAATAGTATTATTATGTTCAATGAATAAACACAAATTTTTTAATCCTATCTGTATTTTTTTTTCATTGTTACTATTTAATAGAATACATATATCTTTAATTTTGCGATCTATATCACCCATTTTTATGTTTTTATTTTTTTTTTTTTTTATTTTTCATTTATTATGTAGTATTTATATATATTTATTTAAATGTTTTAGAAAAAAAACTAAAACAATAATTTATTTAAAAATAATATCTATATAAATTTTATAATTTTTCATTGTTTCAAATAATCTATAATTTCACATAACAGATATGTTATACTTATATTTTAATTAATTTTTTTTTTTTTTTTTTTTTTTTTGGGATTCTTTTTAATTTAAATATATTAAAAAACTTTTTAAGAAACTTATGTTTTATTAAAAATTAACAAATAAATGAATTTTATATAGATAAGTATATTTATATAAATACAATGTAAAAAAAAAAAATAATTCTTTAAAGTAAATTAACACATGAATCTATGAAAAATTTAAAATAACAAATTAAAAAAAAAAAAATTTATATAAAAAGGAAAAGTGAAACATACTTTCATCTATGTTGTTTAAAAGAGAAATTTTTAAAAAAAAAAATTACCGTTTATCATTAAAATTTTGTTTTAAGCTCATATAGAAAAAAAAAAAAAAAAAAAAATTAATGCATGAATAAAATAATATATAACATATATTTAAAAATACATATACGTATTTTTTATTTTCAGTAGACTATTTTTATTTTTGATTATATAAATAAAAAAAAAAATATATGTATTTATATTCTTTTTTTTTTTTTTTTTTTTTTTTT